CTATTTGGCTTAGGAAGAAACCAAGTTAGGAGAAAAAATTTTGGTTTTTCTTTAATTGAGTTTGGTCTGGAAAGTCCTCTCCTCCAAACTCCATCTCTCCACAAGGAGCCAATACAGCAAAGCTTATTGGGAGACAGTTGGGCCAATCATTCTTCCTTTTAAGTGTCTTTTTTTTTTTCCCCCTTTGCTCACTTTGACCCTCCTTCTCCAGGACTTTAGTTCCTCACATTTGCAGGTACCATAACATAGTACAGTGGGCCCACATACACCTGTGCACCAGAATCACTGGTCCAGCTGGTTAAAGTTGTAGGCATCAGGGGATCAAAAGGCACAAAGAAACTTTTTAGCATTATGAAAATGTTCCATATCTTAACCGTGGTGATAATTTACACAGTTGTACATAACTACAAAAAACCTCTTCAAAATAAATTTAAATTTAAACGTTGACACCTCAAAAAACTGAAAAAGACAGTTATTAATTATGCTAGGACAAAAAGCACAAACCACCTCTACTCTGGGAAAAGTAGGATAAATGGTCATCTTACTAATAAATCAAAATGAAGACTAAGTATTAACCATTGGTTATAGCAACATGGATATTGTGAAGTAATAGAAAAAAATATCCACATGTCTCTGCCTCCAGTTTCTGGCGCAGAATTCCTAAAACCCTTGGAATCTCCTGGGTGACTGAAGTGTTTTTTTTTCTAATGGGGTGACTCTCGGTGGGCTCCTGGATGGGGGCTGATCACCAGAAAGTCTAAGCCATAATTGGAAGCTTGGAACTTTCAGGCCCATCCCTCATTCTCCAGAGAAGGGAGAGGAGATGGAAATGGAGTTAGTAATCAATCATGCCAACATGATGAAGCCTACACGAAATTCCCAACAGTACAGGGTTCAGAAAGTATCTGAGTCAGTGAACACATACATCTACATGCCAGGAGGGTAGCATACCCCAGCTTCACAGTGACAGAAGCTCCTGTATTCTGTATCTCTTCATCTGGCTATTCATCTGTATCCTTTACCATAACCTTTATTATATAATGAACTGGTAAATGTGATGATTTCCCTGAGTTCTGTGAGCCTTTCTAGCAAATTATCAAACTCAAGGAGGGGGTCAGAGAACCCTAATCTATAGCTGGTCGGTCAGAAGTATAGGTGACAACCTGGGACTTGTGACTGGCATCTCAAGTGGGGGCAGTGTTGTGGGAGTGAGCCCTTAACTTTGTGGGATCTGACGCTATCTCCAGGGAATGTCAGAATTGAAGTGAATTATAGGACATCCAACTGGTGTTGCAGAAAATTGCTTGATGTGTTGAAAATCCACACATCTGGTGACAGAAGAATTATGTGTGAGTAAAGGAAAAACACAGGAGGACTGTGTTTTTTCCCATTACAGATATCACTGGCAATCTTGATAAGAGCAGTTTCAGTGTAGTGGTGGGAGCAAAGCCTCACTGGAGTAGGTTTACAAGAGTTGGGAAGAGGAAAATTGGAGAAAGGAAATAGAGATAACATATTGAAATGTTTTTTGCTACAAAGAATACAGAGGGGTGCCTGGATGGCTCAGTTGGTTAAACATCCAACTCTTGATTTCAGCTCAGGTCATGACCTCATGGTTTGTGAGATAGAGACACACATCAGGCTCTGTGCTGACAATACAGACCCTGCTTGGAATTCTCTCTCCCTCTTCCTCTGCCACTCCCCCACCTCCAAATAAATAAATAAACATTTTTTTTTTTTTTAAAGAAGAACCATAGAAGAGTTGGGGCAACAAGTGGCAGAAATGGGTTGAAAGAAAGGCTGGATTTTTTTTTTTTCCAAAGATGGGAAAAATGATGGTACATTTTAATGCAGATAGGAATAATCCAGGAGAACAGGCCAGATATCCTACAATCTCATAGTTGTTTGTTTTCTTTTGTTTTCTTAAATAAGGAGCTGAGGACTCAAAGAAACCCAATGAATCCAAATTCAAAATGAAAAGGTCCTCCCCAGAAGAGAAGAAACCCATTACTGGCTTTATCTTTGGCATAGCAGCAGGAGCAGGAAGCCATCACAGATGTAGATAAAAAGAAAACAAATTAGGGGTGCCTGGGTGGCTCAGTCTGTTAAGCGTCCACCTCTTGGTTTCAGCTCAGGTCATGATCTCATGGTTCATGAATTCGAGCTCCACATCGGGCTGACAGCATGGAGCCTGCTTGGGATTTCTCTCTCCCTCTCTCTCTCCCCCTCCCCAATTCATGCTGTCTCTCTCAAAAAATAAATAAATAAATAAATGAACTTAAAAAAAAAAAAAGAAAACAAACTTTTAATCATTTTTAAGGGCCAACTCCAGACTGGCATGACCTATGGACGGGCCCCAAATGTACAGAGACTGTACCTGCCCACCAATTCTATTCCATAGGCCTTTACCAAGTATTCACAAGAAAGAACAGAGATAGGACAGGACAGCCAAGAGTCATTCATCTATGAGGCACTGGTACAAGTGGCCTACTAAAGTTGGAGAACAGGACTGGAGAACTGAGAGAAAACCCTCCAAACCATGAGATCATGACCTGAGCCGAAGTCAGACGCTTAACCAACTGAGCCACCCAGGCGCCCCAAGAATACACTTGATTTTTAAAAAAGACACTTCAGAAAAGATAATTATACAAATGGCTAATAATAACATTTAAAAATGCTTACAATCATTAGTCATCAGAGAAATACAAAACCAAACCACAATGAGAGATCACTATAAACACAGAATTGGGTGGTGGTTCTCAATAGAATGGGGAGGTTGGCCATTTTGACCCCCAGGAGACATTTTTAGTTGTTACTGGCATCTAGAATGCTGCTCATCATCCTATACTGCACAGGGCAGCCCCACATAACAAAGAATTATCCTGCCCTAAATGTCAATGGCAGCAAAATTGAGAAACCCTCAATCGATGAAATGAAAGAGACAAATAGCATCAAATGTTGGTGAAGATCTAGAGCAACTGGAACTCTCTAATAGGATAAGAGAGAGTATGCAAAATGACTCACTCATTTTGGTGTTTGACAAGTGCTAATATATGAAGAGCAAACGGCTTCTCATTGCCATATTAAAGGTCAACATGGACTAAAAGGCCTGCATGATCTAGACCCAGTCTACTTTTCTAGCCTCGACTCTCACTGAAATGAGGGAAAAGGATGATTCAGTATGAGGAAAAATTTTTCAATCAAGTCTACTTGACTTTAACGAAAGAAATCTTGAAAATTCTGAGACAAAAGAAATCTTAGTATCATTTAGTCAGCTTACTACCTAAAGAAGGGATAGTAATACATTCTTGACAGTAAAATGGCTACTGTCTCTCACAATAAACACAAACAGTTTTGGCAAAATCTCAGATCCATTTGACAAAAACTATAGGAACAACTAATGCTACATAAGTAATGATGCTCTATCCCTTTTGTAAACTAAGTTAACTGGAGACCATTATAGAGTTACTGACATTGGCTTAAGAAACTTCACAATATAGGTTGAAAAAAATTAACATAACAGTTAAGAAAGATACTATATACTTATAAATACAACTCATTTCACAAAAGAATTGAGTTGTGTGAAAAACAGTGTATAAATGGGCACTATTCAATAAAAACACAATACAAACTATAAATGCAAGCCACATATGCAATATCAAAGCAAAAATCAGATTAAATTGATTTTATATTATACTATATGCAAATATATGCATACATTATGTACAAAATATGCAAAATAGCCAATATACCCAAATTTTTATCACCTCAATATGTAATCAACATAAAGTTTAGATTATTTTATATTCTCTTTTTTTTTTTT